AATAATCACAGAAATATAAAATTACAACAGTGATATGGAGAAATACATGGTGCTGTGAGACTGTGTAACTAGTGGATGTGACTCAATGTGAGGCAAGAGGGAATGCTTCCTTGAGAAAGCATTGTTGATGAGGGAGCCGAGTTAAGCAGGCCAAACATGTTGGTGGCAGGGAGTCCTCACAACAACTCTAGGAGGAGTTTCTAGAGGCACGAGGCTAGAAAGGCTTTTGTACCATGAGAATAGGGAGAAAGTGGCCTTATGGTGGCTAGAAAATTTAGGTGTAGGGAAGGCAATCCATTCATATAGTTCTCTGAATAAAATAGAGGTAAAGAATATAGGTTTTTTTAAAAAAATAACTTTATTTATTTTTGGCTGCGTTGGGTCTTCATTGCGGTTCGCGGGCAGTCTCACTCCTCTATTGTAAACTTCCCCTTTTATCTGTCGGTGAACATTACGTGAATCTGTAATTTCACTAGGGGTTGCAAAATGGTGATTTTCTTTTTTTTTTTTAAAGGTTATGATTTCTTCCACATTTGTTAACTGGAATTTGAACTCTAGTTTTATTACTTGGGAACCTGACAGTCATCAATAACATGTCTATTGTGGAAAAATGCTGTCAGAGCAACAATTTGTGATGCCAGGAATATACGTTTCCTGGCTATAGTTCTGGAGGCTTAAAGGAGTGTGATGGTCTTTTTGATGTGTCAGCTTGGCTAGGCTGCAGCCCCCATTCAGTCCAGCACCAAACTAGCTATTGCTCTGAAGGTGTTTGTAGATATAATCGAAATACACAAACAGTAGATAATCTGGGTGGGCTTGATCCAATTAATTAGAAGGCTTTAGAAGCAGAGCTGAAGCTTCCCTGATGAAAAAGAAGTTCCACCCGTGGACAGCAGTTTCAGCTTGCAGCCAAGAGTTCCAGCATGTTCTTTCTTGCTTACCTGCCCTGCAGATTCCTCCACAATTGCATAAACCAGTTTCTTGCAATACATCTCTTCAGAATACCTCCTACTGGTTCCGCTGCTCTGGTTGAACCCCAGCTGGTACCAGGAGCCACTCTCTAGGCTCTCATGTTCTCTAACAAAGTGGGGTGAGGAGTGGTGGCAAGGGTCAGAGAACCTACTTTTGTTAGGGTAACCCTATAATTTATTGCTCAAACTGGGACTTTTGAAAGAGAAATGGGGAGCTGAGCAGTTGGCAAGCTGAAACAATAGACATACATGGGGACTCTCTTGGGCAAGTTGAGACATAAAGTCATTCTGTGTGTCAGCCACTGGTGACACATCAGCATGGCGGTGACATATTGATGACACCACCCCCTCAGGGAGCTTGTAGTCAAGGTTAAGTAAATCAACACGTCACCAGATAGTGTTTTAGGTGACATGAGAACCTGTAGCTGTGCTTATCCAGACAGAGGGAATGGGAGGGTGGCACTCAGAGAAGTCCTATGCACTAAAGGGAAACCTGATCTTACCTCCAAACGTAAGCAGGGTTTGAACAAAGTGAAGTGGGAAGGATGGTTCACGTATAGAGAGCCACACAGGCGAAAGGTTAGGCTGAATGGGCATAGAACATCTGGAAAACTACCGTGGTGGCTACAGCTATAGGATTGGAAGAGGGGAGCAATGAAAGATGAGGCTAGTCAGGCAAGCAAGGGCCACATCGTAAAGGGCCTCATGTCCATATATTATAGGGTTTGGAGTTTATCTTCAAGGTGGCGGGAAACTATTGCAGGATTTTAAGCAGGGGTGTACCATGACCAGACTATCTTTATGGAAAAGTTATGTTTTGTAACATCCTAACATTGAGAGTGGAGAAAAATTGACAGTAGGGAGACTACTCCAAGGCTCTTGAAATGATCTAGTTAGTGAGAATGGGGGAAAGCTTGTGGCTAAGGAGATTAAGGAGGCCGTATTGACAGAACTGATGGGACTGGGGCCTGAGGAAGCGATGAGGGGCGACTTCCAGGTTCCAGGCTGCACTGAGCTCCCTGAAGGAGAGAATGGAGGGGAGGAGGTAGGGGATGATGTCGTGTGCCCCTCCTTTTCTCCTGTTGGCACTGTGGCTCTCATCACCAACGAGAGGAGGGAAGGAATGGCAGTAACGTCCTGTAGGGATTGCTGGGCAGGGTTTCTCCCCTCTGCCCCTGAGTCTCAGCCAGACCTTCCTGAGGGATGAAGAGAGGCACCTTCTCTCATGCCCTCTTCCACTTGCAGCCTGCGCTTTAGAAGGAGTAGGTGGAGGGGTGGGGAGTCCCTGTAGAACCAGGCAGCGAGTGAAGGGCAGAGGGGGGTGAGTTCTCTTCTTTCTCTTCTTTGGACATTTACCACGTACAGTCTCGGGCAAGTTACGGAAACTCACTGTGGGTCCGTTTGTTGTCTGTGAGGAGTAAATGAATGAATGTGTGTGGCTGCTTAGAGTAGTGCCTGGCTCACAGGCAGTGGGGTTCAGATGTTGGCTATGGCTGCTGATAACCATCCATTCACTGCTTCATCCTGGCATCTGAGTAACAAAGGGGACCAGAGGGCGGCTTCTGCAGCTCCCTCCTTGCAGTGCTCCCTGTGGAAGGAACAAACACTCAGGAACTATCTGTACAGAATGTTAGAAGAAATCATTTTAATTGGGGGGGATTTCTGATAATAGAAGAACCTTTATTTTTCAGTCTACCTTGCCTTTATTTTTTAGTTAGGAAAAAGGCAAGTGGTTCAGTTCAGATTTAATGAGAATCATTATTCTTACTTACTGCCTTGCTTTCAGTGTTCACCGTAACCCATTTTAACGATAAATAACTACTTGTTTACTGGGGCTTAGGGACAAGGAATAATTGCAGGAAAAATCCCTGTCATGATTTTGAGAGGGGAAATATTTTCCAATAGAAAAATCGGATGAAAAAATTCACATTTAAATAAAGGCTTTTTTGTGTTTTTTATACTTGCAGTATTTGTTAAAAGCCAAAATAATTTATTAAAATATGCCTTTATTTAAATTTAATGATTGTTTATTTTTATTACAATTTTAATACATGCTTTTTGAAATAACGAAATTTAAACAACGAAGAATGAAGAGCTAAAAACATGAGTCTGCTTTGATCCCATTCGCATTTCCTATCCCTTCTCAGAAAGAATGTCTGTTTTTGTATGTCTCCTTCCAGACCTTTTTCTACATATCTACATATACAATTTTTTTAAATAAATGGCATCTGTTAGACACATTACGTGTTATATACTATGTTCTATGACTTCTTTTCACCACTTATCGTGTATTACTACATAAAGATTTACTTCTTTATTTTCACTCTTTTGGATGGATGTGGTATAATTCATTTAACTGTTCCCCTATTGATGACTATTTAGATTATTCCCAGTATTTGGTTATAATGTCTTCATTCAACAAATGTTTATCGACTGCTGGGCAGTGGTAGTGAACAAAACTGCCTGTTTTCATGTAGTTACCTTCTTTTGGAGGTAGACAGACAATAAATGAAATATGTCAGATGCTGTTGAGGCCTGAAGGGTGAAGAAGGAGATAGGAAGTGCTGGGAATGAGCATTTTAAAATAGGATGGTCAGGAAAGCTTTACCAATAGATAACATTTGAGTAGAGATCTGGCAGAGGTGAAGTCATGAGCTTTGAAGCCATTGGTGGGGGAGAAACATTCTAGGAAGGAGTGAAGTCCAAAGGCTCTGAGATAGGGGCATGCCCAATGAGAAGAAGAGCAGTGAGGCCATTATGGCTGGAATGGAGTGAGCCAGGGGCAGAGTGGGAGGAGATGAGGTCACAGAGGAGGCAGCAGAGAGTCAGGGTTTTTTCGGCCACTATAAAGACTTTGCCTTTTCCTGAGTGAGGCGGCAAGCCTTTGAAGGTTTCCAAGCAGAGGCATGGTAGAATCTGACTTAGATTTGAGATGATCACTTTCTTGATAATAAACTATTGGAATGGAAACAGGGAAGCCATTTAGAAGGCTATTGCAACAATACAGGCAAGACACAATGATGGCTTGGACTGGCTCGGACTAGGGTGGTAGCAGTAGAGGTGGTAGGACTTGAATATGTTTTAAAGATAGGGTAAGAGAGGAGTCAAGGACTATTCTGTAATTTTAGGTCTGAGCAATCGAAAAGGTGGAGTTGCCATGAAATGAGATGGGGAGGACTGCAGTAGGCAAGATTAGATTCTTTTTTTTTTCATTGAAGTATAGTTGATTTACAGTATTGTGTTAGTTTCAGGTGTATAGCAAAGTGATTTGGTTATATATGTGTGTGTGTGTGTATGTGTATACACACACACACACACAGTAAGTCCCCTACATACGAACCTTCAAGTTGTACACTTTCAAAGATGCGAATGTACGTTCACATGTCCAGTCATGTAAGTTAGTTCAAGTGTCTGGCGTACATTGTCACTTGCATGCATCCTCTACAAGTGGTTGTCCTTTTGTGTACTTTACTGTATAGTACTATATAGAGTACAGCAGTACGGTATGTTTATTTCCTGCCTGTTCACTCGATGCCAGCCCCTGTATGCCAGCTGTTGTACTGTACTACTGTAATTTTCAAGGTACTGTGCTGTAAGATTAAAAATGTTTTCTTTATTTTTTGTATTTGTTTGTTTTTTATGTATTATTTGTGTGAAAAGTATTATAAACCTATTACAGTACAGTATTATATAGCTGATTGTGTTAGTTGGGTACCTAGGATAACTTTGTTGGACTTACGAACAAATCGGACTTACGAACGCGCTCTCGGAACTGAACTCGTTCATATGTAGGGGACTTACTGTATATGCACACACACACATACATACATACATATACTTTTTCAGATTCTTTTCCATTATATGTTATTACAAGATAAAGTAAGCAAGATTAGGAATTGGGCTTTGGGCACATTACATTTGAGAATCTATTAACAGCCAACCAAGGTACTGAGTAAGCGGTTGGACATTAAATTTGGAGTTCAGTGGCGAGGTCAGGGCTGGAGATGCAAACCTGGGAGTCATCAGTTTATTAATATAGTTTAAACCCAGAGCTCACCTAGAGAGTAAATTAGAGAAGAGATTCAAGGACAGCCCTTGGGCACGTCAAGGTTAAGAGGCTTGAGGATATGAAAAGGATGCAGCAAAGAAGACCAAGAAAGCAACCTGTGAGGTAAGAGAGAAACCAAGGAAATGTGATGCCCTAGAAACCAGACAGACTGAGCCAGCTATGTCAGACGACGAGAACTGAGAATTGACCATTGAATTTGACAGTGTGGCTGAGTGGGTGACCTTGACAAGAACAATTTTGAGTGAGAAATAGGGGGCCTGATTGTAGTAGATTCAAGAAAGAATGGAAGGAGAGGAACTGGAACTCTAGTATTCAATATTAGCAACCCTTTTTGAGGAGTTTGTTTTAAAAGGGAGATAGAAAATGGGGCTTAAGCTGGAGGGGCATATGAAGTCAAGGTGTTTCTTTTGTTTCTTATCTAAGATGGAGGAATAAAATGTTTCAAGCTTATGGGCAATGATCCAGCAGAGAGAAAAATTGATGTCAGGCAAAGTCCCCACTTTAAGAGAAGGGTCTGAAGAGTCCATTTTAATAAACTTATATGCGTGTATACAAGGATTTCTGTAGGCTACTTTCTGAAGAGGATATCCTGAGTCAAAGGGTGTGTGCATTTAAGAAATCTGTACCAATTTATATTCCACCTCCAGTGGAATACCCTTGCTAACGTCAAACTTTGCCAGTCTTTAAAATTATTGCCAATCTGATGGGTGAGATCTTCATTATTTTAATCTGTTTTATGCTTTGTAGGAACTCTTTATATAATCTGACTAATCCTTTGTTGTATTTTGGCACATATTTTCTCCCGTGCTGTTTCTTGCATTTAACTTTGCTTATGGTGTACTTTTACCATATAGATGTTTTTTTCAGTTTTTATGTATTTAAGTCTGTCAGCCATTTCCTTTTATAGCATTTGGGTTTCATTTGGATTATATACATATTTTATATAATGTATATAATCTTTTAATACATTTGTACATTTATCTTTTAAATTCATCTGGAGTTTATTTTTGTGTATGTTGTGAAATAGGTATCTAAGTTTTCCATCTCCTTCTATGTTCTTAAACAGTTAAATACCATAAAAATTAACTGTTTCTTAAAGGTTTGGAAGAAATTACCTATAATATTTTCTAGACTTGGAACCTTTTTGGAGTGTAGATCTTTGACTTCTTTAAAGTGTTGTTTTGTTTTTTTTTTTGGTCTGTGTAATGATCTGTTTGTTTTATGTACTTCTTTTTAGGTTAGTTTTGGTAATTTTTTTTCCTAGCACCTCATTCTTATCATCCAGATTTTTCAAATTTATTGGTTTAAAATTTTATGTAAAGAAAAGAAATATCAAGTCTTCTCTATATTTGTGTCTGTCCCTGTACTAATACCTTTATCTGGGCAGTAGATGCTGGAGCTGTCCTTTTCACAGATTGGGAGATTGGTTTAGCAGCTTTCAGCCCGCATGGTTCACCTCTTACTGTCCTTCATCTTGGGTTTATTCCTAGATTCTCCTTCTCTTTTGTTTGTAAGGGATTGCAGGCTCCTTGGTTCTGTTCCCTATCAGTCTAATCCCATTTGCTCTTTAGCTTATAAAAATTTCTGCTGTTGAGGTCGGCTGATGGATATGTGCCCTTCTTGGTTTCCAGCATTACTGTGGACTTATTTTTATGTTTCTTCTGTCATTTTGGAGAGATTTTTCTGGGAGGAATGAGAGGCAAATCCATATTTTCAGTTAGCTTTTTGAAATAGGAAGTCACAGTTCTTTCCTGTGTGGTTTTCTTTTCTCATAGTCCTTTGTTTAATTGCTGTTTGCACAGTAGTTGGATAATAACTTTACAGTGTGAGTAGTAATAGACCCCTGGACTTCACTTTTTAAAAATTTTAAATGAAACCAGATGTCTCAGTGGACTGTATTTGTTGAATAGAAATGTGGATATATTGTGACTAAATATTCAAGCAGTACTTTTAAAACTTAAATGACATAGTCATAACATTTAGAATTATAAGGGACTTTAGAGATCATTAGACCAAATGCCTTATTTAATGGATGAGATATTTGGGGCCCAGAGAGATTCAGTGATTTATCTAAGGTAACAAAGTCAGTGATCAGGCAAGGTGGAAAGCCCGAGTCCCTTTACTTCAGTTTGGCTGTGCTGTTTGTTATTTTGCACGTTCTTGATGTTCTCCTTAGCTGTGTAATGAAAGAGGTATTTTCAGCTAATAAAACCTAAGGATGGTACAGTGGCTTGGAATTGCTTCTGAAATTTGATCTTAGATACCATATTAAATACATTGATGCGGACTTTTCTTTTCCTCATATAGCTATTAAATATTATGATGTAAATGTGAATTTTAAAGAATGGGCCGTCAAGGTATGCTCTAGCCTAAATGAAAACCATACAGTTTATTTCTCCCATGTTTCATCTTTTCTGCTTACAGACTTTATGTGATCTATTGACTCTTGAATTTCTTATTAATATTTTAAGCTTAAGGAATATATATAAATATAAATATAGGCTTGAAAAGTAATTTTAGTGATAAATCATAAAATATTTCAGATCTAAGATTTCTAATTTTTTGGTTTAATATACCATGCTGCTAGATCAACATCTAAATTTACAAGTGCTAATATGTATGTTTTTAAAAAAAAGAGCTTTGCTTATTTTTTTCAGCAAGCATTAGGGGGTAGTGTATATTTATCACACTTTCATTGCTTTGCTTGGTCTTTAACTTCAACAGAAAGTTTTTAAAATGTAGGGTTTTTATTATTGATATAACATGTTTGGTAGTCGTATCTCTTTAGTTCTCAAAAAGCATCGAGGGATTGAGGGATTGATATGTGTAGCATTAATGAACTTGGGTGGGTCCTATCCTGGCAGCCCACCCCCACTCCCCAGCAGCCTAAGAAGAGGGGAAATTTAAACGTGGTTGCTCCAGAATTATATTCTAAGAAGATTTGTTTAATTAACTTCAGGTTTTAACTCTTTTAGCACTTTTGAAACATATGATATGACCTATTAATTTTTTTTTGTAACCTAGAGAGCATTCTCTGTCTCCAGTATGAACTGAGAATTTAATTTTTTCCCAGTTGAACATAATGGCAGGCGAAGAAATTAATGAAGACTATCCAGTAGAAATTCATGAATATTTATCAACATTTGAGAATTCCATTGGTGCTGTGGATGAGATGCTGAAGACCATGATGTCTGTTTCTAGAAATGAGTTGTTGCAGAAGGTATTTTAAGTAATTTCTAAAAATGTATTCATAAAACCGAGTGCTATGTTATGAAACATATAGAAGAAGAAACAGATACATGAAATATGCCCCTTTCCCCCTTTATTTCAATTTTTAAGTGTTTGGATATCTTTAAGGGGAAAATATAACAAACTCCAAGCTTAGGAAATACCTCCTAACTATATTTTTATTTTGACTTGGTTTTGAATAAAAAAAAGCTCTCCCAGCATTCTTTTTGACAGACTCTATCTTTGACCTTTTAAGTATTACAATGATGTTATCAGGGTTTCTGGAAACCCTATAGGACAAAAAGAGTAAATTGACTTTGACAGTCTAAAACAAATCTCATTATGTTTCTTCTGTCTTTGGTATTGCCTAAGCATTTTAGCCTGCTTCTTATACATAAATGCATCATGTACAATGTTTATATTGATGAATTACTTTTGACATACAAAGCCCAGATTGTAAATCCTGAAATTAAAATAATTCAAAAGAATTTTTTTTTATTTTGGATTAAACACATTCCTTGTTTAACTTAAAGATGGTACGCTGAAGTGAAAATTTGTGGGCAAAAATCACTGGTTAACAAAACTTTTCTTTTTGCAAATTATTTCCAGATTATTTGGTTTGATTATTGGATTATAGGAAGTGAAAAAAACATTTCTTTGATACATTGTACTTGGTGAAAGTTTAAAATATGTGATGGTGCTCAAAGTTTTAATTTCTTTTTTCTTTTTCTTTCTCTCTCTCTCCCTCTTTTTTAATAGTTGGACCCACTTGAACAAGCAAAAGTGGATTTAGTTTCTGCTTACACATTGAATTCAATGTTTTGGGGTATGTATATTACTTTAGAGTTAATTAGAAAGCAAATTATTTACCATGTCAAAGGTGACTTATTTTTTAAAATGCTAGCAATTATACTTTATGGCAATTTTAATAGTCAGATATTTATTTCTTTTTAAATCAGAGTACCAGATGCCCATGAGCCACACATACATTTAATATTACAAAGAGGTTGAATAATTTAAGATTTAGTTAATAATTTGTGTGACGTTTCCTTTTTGTAACTAGAGCTTCTTTAATTAATGCTCTTAATTAATATATATGCATTTTATTCCATGAAATCTTTCTCTTGTAGTTTATTTGGCAACGCAGGGAGTTAATCCTAAGGAACATCCAGTAAAGCAGGAATTGGTAAGATTGCAGGGGATCGATTTCTTTTTATTTTACGTGTAATGTCTGTTGTAGTGTTTCTAAAGGTAAAATCGCAGTACCTTTATCACACTAATTGTGGAGAACAGAATTATTTAGGGATGAAATTACGAAAGTGAGCCAGATTTCATCGTGCCTTTAGTTTTTCTTTCTCTCACCTTTGTCAGAGAAGGGTGTTCCATTATATAAATCTGTGGATGGGAAAATGTCACGATTCTAGTAATTATTTATAAGTGCTATATTATTTTTCCTATAAATTCTTGAAATCCTGTTCATCTCTACAACTGCCTGTTTTTTTTTTAAACTCTTATGCAATTCTTAAAAGTATATTCTAGTTGATTTACTAGCCAAGATGGGAAAGTTTCTCCTCCACCGTTTCAATTCTTCCATTAATTCATTTTCTCAGCAGTAAAGAATCCACTTCGGCAACAAAGCTAAAAGCTTTTTTGGCACCAGTTGTATGTGTACTGTCCAGTAATTCTGCATTAGTGACATATTTACAACCTGTAATAAATCTTCTAGGTTTGTCTTTGTATTCCATTTAGATGTATAAGTATAGTATATTATATAAGGTCTGGTATCTTGGAGTTTTTGCTGACTTCAAAAATTAAATCAAATCATTCAATTTGAAAGAAAAAAATTTAGAAATCAAACTTACGGTTACCTTCTTGACTTGGCTTTATGAATAAGAATATTAATAAATTTATTCTTTGTGTTTATAAAATATAAGGTAAATATATATGTGAAATACACTTGACACTGTATTATTGTTCTAAAGTTTTATGGTGGTTGATATGTATGTTTTTTTATAACTTAGTAAAGTACTTGGTCATTTATTTTAAAAAATGAGTAAACCAGATCTGCCGTCTTCAATTTTTAAATGTGTAGACTAAGACATTTTCTTCTTTTAAATTTCTTGGGGGAAAAGTAAATTTATTTTTAAATAGAGAAATTGTGAAAGATACTTAAAGCAAAAATATAAAGCAGTATGATCCACAGAGCTTGATTTGACAAGTGATACTGGCTTTAAATCTTAAGAAGTATGCATTGTATCATCTGCTTTCACCTTTCTAATATGGACTTTACATTTATAAAATTCCTCTTTCTTCTCTTAAACACAAAGTTATTTGGAGTAGTGTAATACTTAATTCTGTCACTGGAAAAAGATAAAATCATCTGCCTTCTTTTTCCCTCAGAATCCACTTTATGGAGGAGTACATTTATATTTTGGACAAGGGTTGATAAATGAAAAGCATCCATAAACCTATTCCCCTTTTCTGACCTTGTGACAGATGTCACTAATTGATCACAGAGTTAGTATGTGAGAGGAAGCCTATTTGCCATATCTATCATGAATGGAGAAGGGCATTGAAAATAGTTTATTCATTTGACAAATATTTGAATGCCCACTGGAAGCCAGGCATTATTTCCAAGTGAGATAATTCCTCAGTGAATAAAGCCAATAAATAACCCTGCCTTTGTGGCAGGTGCCAGAGTACTAGTGGAGGGAAACAAACAACATAATCAAACAAACAACAAATAATAAATACATATGAATATATAGTATGTTAGAAAGTTACGTTGTGGGAAAAAAGAAAAAAATAGCACAGAGTAAGGGGCATTGGAGTGCTTGGGTAGGATTGCCATTTTCAATAGTAAAGGCAACACTTATTAACAAGGTGAACATTTGAGGAGACTGGAAGGAAGAGAGGGCTGGCCATGTGGGTTTGTGAGGGAAGATCATTCTGGGCAGGGCTGGATTGGGTGTGTGTTGTGAGGACTTTGGCTTTTACTCAGAGAAATAGCGAGCCATGAGAGGGTTTTGAACAGGGTTGTCAGTTTCTTAAAATTAAAAAATTCTAAGGTTCTGCATTTTTCTGTGTATGTTTATATAACTATTTTGATTATTTTAATGAAACTTTTAAGCAGTGATCAATCATTTACTCTGCTGTTTTATAGCTCTCACGCCTTTATTTCTCCAACTGAAGTATAGAATAGCCCTTTATTCTGATTAGTGGTCTCAGAAGATTCAAAGTGGTACAGCAACCTAGTATGTTTCTCACCTTGTAAAGTCTGATTAGAACTGTATATTTCATTAGAAAATATCATGTGCTTTTCAGTCAGAACTATGACATTGGATAAAAAGATCTTGTATTTTCATTATACTTATTTTAATTGTGACATGAAGGTAACACAAAAAAATAAATAGTTAAATACGCCTTAGCCATTTCCTGTTTAGAAAAGTTTCTGGAGAGTTTAGTTTGTATGTTGAAAGTATGTGAAAGCTTTATTTTAATTAATTAATTATTTATTTATTTAGGCTGCGCCAGGTCTTAGTTGCAGCATGTGGGATCTTAGTTGTGGCATGCAGCTTTCTTAGTTGTGGCATGTGGGCTTCTTAGTTGCGGCTTGCAAACTCTTAGTTGTGGCATGCATGTGGGATCTAGTTCCCTGACCAGTGATTGAACCCGGGCCCCCTGCATTGGGGGTGCAGAGTCTTACCCACTGGACCACCAGGGAAGTCCCGAAAGCTCTATTTTAGATTATAGACTTCAGATACAAGAGAGTTAGTATGTGGATTTAGGTGAATGCTAAATTTAAAAATTTAGTATAACCACATATAAACAATTAAATGTTTATCTCTGTAGTGTCTAGATCTTCCTCTTTTGAAACACTCAGAACACTTCTGAAATGACTTTTTTGATATCTGTATTCCCCTCAGACTGTGAACTCCAGGAGCACATGGAATGTGTTTATCCTATTCGCTTTGCACTTATTAGCGCCACTCAATAAGCAATAAATACAAAGCTGTTGAATTGAACTGAGGTATAGTATAATAGAACTCAGTGGTGAGCAGCTTAGTAAATCTGTTGCCTTTCTTCTTTTTTTGTCTTTAAGGAGAGAATCAGAGTATACATGAACAGAGTCAAGGAAATAACAGACAAGAAAAAGGCTGGCAAGCTAGACAGGGCTGCGGCTTCAAGATTTGTAAAAAATGCCCTATGGGAACCAAAACCTAAAAATGCATCCAAAATTGCCAATAAAGGAAAAAGTAAAAGTTAACCTTTTGGTTTTGATGTACACATATTCAAAAAGTACATAATTTTTATTGTTTTCCACAAAATAGATGATGATTATGTGCCATTGTAAGGTTTAAATTATTCCATATTGAATTCGTGTGTAAAATTTGCATTTTAAATTTGTAATGCTAAATACTTTTCCCCCAGAAAGATTAAGTTATCCTTATTGATTTCCCTATAGAACATTATGTGGTTTTTTTAACATTGTGGTATATTTTATATTTATAGTTTACTGTCTCTTGACAAGACTCTTATTTCCTTATATAGGTCAATTTTTCAAGTGCCATTTTATAAGCAACTATGAAATTTAAGTTAAATGTTCTTTGCAAACATTTGTCTATTTTCGATGAATAATGATTTTATGAAGTATGCTGAAGTTTTAAATACATCTGTTTTCACTATATAATATTAGGAAAGAAAGAAATGACTTAAATGTCCATTTTTTCTGTGAAGTTATTTCATTACGCTTTCATGATTTTGGGAATTACTGCTTTTTGTGATATTTGAAGTATGAAATTAAGACTTTTAAGGTTATTCTTTAATTCTTGGTACTTTGCCACTGTGTCCCATTTAAAGTAAAATATATTCTCTTTAACTTTAGATGGGAAATGAGGTTGTATATTGATGGCTGAATTTTGGCATAATGGCTGTACCCTATCAGTAAAGCTGTAAGTGTTGTGTAGCTGACCTGTTTTTTATTTTTCTCTTTTGAGTAAATTTTCTCTTGAAATTAGGAAGGTAGTTTTTAGAAATCCTTAGGAATGGGGGAATTCACGAGTTTTTGTTCCTTATGCATAGTGCCCACAGTTCTCTTGGCCTCATGTTTTCAGAGTTTTTTATTGTATGTTTCTGAGGCTATAGCAATTACATAGAAGTATTTTGGAACAACTTTGTATGTTATTTAATGCCACTTAAGCAGAGGAGAAATCCAAAGGAGATTACATTGTGTTTATATTCTGATTTATTTTTCTGCAGTATTTGCTACAGAGAATTCTAAATATTAAACGAATTTTTTTATGTCTAAGCCCATGAATTTTAATTAATGCTTTCAGTCTTTGAATTCACATCATTATGTATAGGAATGCCAAGTACAGTAAAATACTTTAATTTTTGAAAATGAAGTTGTTAAAATTTTTTGTGTGACTAATTCTCCATAAGTAACCTTGAATAAATGGATTTCTTGATTTATGGTAGCAGATATTGGAAATGGTCTTAAAATGTAATGGATTTTGTAACGCATGTTGAACTCTTTCTATGACACATGAAGAGGTGGTCACTGATAGATGCACAAAGACTTCTGGCTCAGATGTCAGACGATTTTTGAAGTGGAAGAACACTTATAGTTAGTTCACTCCTTTTTTCACCTTCGGCTCCTCAAAATTCAAATTTTTTTTTTTAAAGTAACTTCTTCATGAGAGAAATAAATGTTATTAAGATCAAATATAGTGGCCTAGTGTTATTTATTGCAAAGAAGGTTATAGCTTGCATTTCTTTATATTTTCTCATTTCATTAAGAAAAAAAAAGTTAAATGAAAAATGTCATGCAGTTGCAGAAAGTCATTAGCCAAATTATTGGTTTGTGAAAGTCCAATTCTACCTTCTCTTAAACTGGAGATTCTTAAGTGAACAATTCTTTTAAGTGTTTATTAGAGGTAAAAAACAATTTGAGTGTATTCCATTTTATTATGTATGATTTTAAGTACTTACTAGCACATAGTAAGGAGCTGAGTGATAGTAAGTGTATTGGGTTGCTTATTTTTTGTCTATGCATTTCACAAATACTTAATGACATTTACATTGTTAAATACTGTGCTAGGTTCCAGATAAGACAACTCCAGCCTTTATTCTATTTTAAGTATTATGAAAACACTAGTCTTTTCATTCAATTCAGTTTTTCAGAGTTACTGGAAAATTTATGACAAGTTGTGCTCATTAACCTTAGTCAGAATCATAAAGGGTGATGGGTTGATCTATTTGACTATGGTACAGTTATTGTTAGCATAGTTTGTTCCAAATGACAGTCTGCTCTAAGGTTAGATGTTAATTATATCTTGTATTAATCTCTTTGGGAATTAACAAATTGGAGGGGTTATAGCTATAGATACTTTTAAGATTAGAATTATGGATTATTAATCTAATACTAAATAATGAGATTTAGTCTTTTAATATTATTTTAAGCACAATTTTCTTATTGTTCATAGTTGCAGGATGGGAATTCATTTTAGTAAGTAGAATATTTTAAGAGGAAAACTGAAGCTTGAATTATGGTTTACATTCCTGGAATTTGAGGTTATGTCAAATTGATTGGTTTTTAAGATACCCTGCAAATTAAAAAAATTGTTCTACTTAGCTATTAGAAATGGATTAGTATTATTTCTAAATGAGCCTTTAAAAATTGACTAGAAATACAGGAAATGCTTAAAAAATGGACAATGTATTGAATATAGATACTTTTTCCTAAGCATAGGTCATTGGAGAAAAAGATGTTTTAGGAATCACTTAGCTTATAATACTGTTAAACCATACCTTTATGCAATAAATTATCAGAAATTCTGGCTTTACAAAGTAACATTAACTGAGAAAGGTTTGAACAGTGATTCTGAGCCTCATGTAATAGCTAAGTTTGGTAGATAAAGTGGAGAAAAAGAAGAACTGGCATCTTGTTTTCTCCCTTCATAGAATGGTTAGTAAACTTGCTCTGATAAATTCAGGGGCTCTTTTAACTGAATAGCAACCTATTTTATATAAATGTGATCTGAATGTACTTAACTAATAAAAACATTTCTTTTCCCTATATCCTGGTCTAAAACTCATCAGTTTTGGAAATACAAACCATATTTTGCTTATTTTAAATATTAGCATTTTATAGTTTTCATTAACAATTATGTTAGGAGGAAAAGTATACAGATTTTATTACATTATTCTGTAGATTTGTTCTCCTTGATTAATTTGGTATTATATTGCTTGTGCACAGGATTTCAAGAAAATGCTTTGAATAATTTTGGTTTGCAGATTTGTTTTCCTTTCAGAGAGCAGCCACCCTCTGACCTGATGTGCCTTTTAAAGTGTTTATTTTATGGTATAATTTTAATATAGCCAGGAAGATTAGTTAAAGCTATCCAGAAAAGGGGGTAGCTATAGTGATATCTCCTGGCAATTGAGACTTAATTTTAATTCTGTAACCCCCTACTCCCAATCTTAGGCCAAAAACCAAAACCAGCCTAGCTCTGTTTATAAAAGGTTGAGAAAACAAGCCAGTCCCTTCCCTCCGACCCCCCTCCCCAAAACCTTGAAGTCTGGCAAGTGTATCATGGCAAAATAACTGCATGCAAGATGTCAATTTGGTAAAGTGATATATTTCAGATAGTACACAAAATTTCATGGCAGGAAAGATAAGCTTTCATAAATGAAACATTTAAGAGACTCTTTTATTATTTCCTTTCAGTTTAGTGTTGCCTTTAAGGTGTGCCGTTTCAGTTTGGCAGCTACAATAAATGATTGAAGGAAATTGAAGATAATTCAACATTTCAAGATGCTTCTGCTGAAATGAATGTAGACCTATCCAGGGCTTGAATTTAAAGTTTATAGTAGTACAGTATTTTAAAGCCAAGTACCCAGGAAATTCATGGTGATAGGATTTGAATGAGATGATTAGGAGAAATAGAAAAGAATACCTTCAGTTTCTTATTAGGTGAGTATTAGCTATTGAGAGCCTATGTTGAAAAATTATTGTAAAAAGGATAGAGGCTTGTTATATGCAATTTACTATAGTGTATAATTCATCTTGGACCTTGTCCAAAGATGTTTAATTATTAAAATACAAAAGAATGATTATAACAAGGAATCATTTCTGATTTAGTGCTAGAGCAGTGGTCTGTAGACCATGTTGTAATGTATCTGGCTGATATTGTTTCATTTAGTGACCTTTGCTCTCTCTAATAATACATTCCTTGACTTATTTAAATTGAAATCATTTACTATCCCATTTCTGATCCTTTCCTTCTTTACTATTTTCCCTTAAGAAAGAAATCATTGGGCTTCCCTGGTGGCGCAGTGATTGAGAGTCCGCCTGCCGATGCAGGGGACATGGGTTCGTGCCCCGGTCCGGGAAGATCCCACATGCCACGGAGCGGCTGGGCCCATGAGCCATGGCCGCTGAGCCTGCGCGTCCGGAGCCTGTGCTCCGCAACGGGAGAGGCCACAACAGTGAGAGGCCCGCATACCGCAAAAAGAAAAAAAAAAGAAATCATTAAAAGTATGTATAAACATTTGGGGTGCTAGTTTCTTTTTTTAGTGTTTTTGTTTTTCTCGGATATATACCCAGGAGTGGAATTGCTGGATCATATAGTAGTTCCATTTTTAGTTTTCCAGTGTTCATTATTTATAATTGTCAAGGTATGGAAACAACATAAGTGTCCATCAACAGGTAAAATGGATAGAGTGAGTTCCCTGGTGGCCTGGCGGTTAGGATTCCAAGCTTTCACTGCCATGACCTGGGTTCAATCTCTGGTCGGGGAACTGAGATCCCCCAAGCTGTGCGGTGTGGCAGAAAAACCCCCAAAACACAGATAACTGGATAGAAGAGATGTGGTGTACACACACACACACACACACACACACACACACACACACACAATGGACTACTACTCAGCCATAAAAAAGAATGAAAGTTTGCCATTTGCGGCAACATGGATGGACTTGGAGGGTATTAAGCTAAGTGAAATAAGTCAGACAGAGAAAGACAAATACTATATGATATCACTTATGTGTGGAATCTAAAAAATACAACAAACTAGTGAATAAAACAAAAATGAAGCAGACTCACAGATCAATCTAGTGGTTGCCAGTGGGGAGGGGCAATATAAGGGTGGGGAAAAATATGTATAATAGTTGCTGGGTTTTGTGGGTTTTGACATTTGTGAGTCTCAACATTTATGATTTTCACTATTGGTGAGTGACTTTATGGGGTTTTTTTGGTTTTTTTTTTTTGGTGAGTGACTTTAGAGGTTCATGGAGTATATATATGGTATTTTGCAATTTTGCCAAGGCATAATCTTAATTCCTGCTAAATTCCATGCAGGAAGGCCTTGTTCAGCTAATGATTTAGCCTAGCTAATCTCTCAACAGCTACAGTTTTTTTCCTCACTTGCTGTCACATTCATTTATTCACTCATTCATTCAACAAATATATTGAGCTCTTCATGTGTGCCAAGTTCTGTTACAAGCATGGGAAATTCAGCAGTTATTCAAACAGTGTATAGTGATTAGGAGATGTCAAACTTTATCATGTGAAAAATGGCTGCTCTGGGTTGAATTTTTCCCCCAAAATGAATATGTTGAAGTCCTAACTCTTAATTAATTTATTTATTTTTGCTGTGTTGTGTCTTCATTTCTGTGTGAGGGCTTTCTCTAGTTGTGACAAGCAGGGGCCACTCTTCATCGCGGCGTGCGGGCCTCTCACTATCGCGGCCTCTCTTGTCGCGGAGCACAGGCTCCAGACGCGCAGGCTCAGTAGTTGTGGCTCATGGGTCTAGTTGCTCCGCGGCATGTGGGATCCTCCCAGACCAGGGCTCAAACCCGTGTTCCCTGCATTAGCAGGCAGACTCTCAACCACTGCGCCACCAGGGAAGCCCAAAGTCCTAACTCTTAATACCTCATAATATTACCATATTTAGAAATAGGGTTGTTGTGGTTGTAGTTAGTGAAGAGGAGACCACAGGGTGAGCCCTAATCCAATATGGTGTCCTTATAAAAGGGGAAATTTGGACATAGTCTTACACCCAGGGAAACACCATATGAAGATGAAGGCAGAGATCAGGGCGTTGCTTTTATAAGCCAAGGGATACCAAAGGTTGCCTGCAAAGCACCAGAAGCTACATGAGGGGCATGGGACAGATTCTCTCACGGCCCTCAGAGGGAACCAGCCCTGCCAACACTGTGATGTTGGACTTCTGGCCTCCCCAACTGTGAGGCCAATACGTTCCTGTCTTGTACACCACTCAGTTTGTGGTACTTTGTTATGGCAGCCCTAGCAAACTAATACAATGGCCGTTTAGATGGAAGGAATTAAAAAGATTTATAACTTGGAGTGAAAGTATGTGCAAAGAAACTTCATGACACAAGATGAAAATGTAATGTTGAAGAAAACCAGGAACCTATGTAGACTTAATCTAGGACTATTTTTGAATTGGAGCAAAGGTCTCAAAATTTTGACCTTGAAATGTCAAGGGTCTGTTATACTCTTTCTGAAGCCAAAGTGTTCAGACCTCTCTAGCAGGCTTTGTTAGTTTTGACTGAGTGTACCATCTTTTAAACTTTACCTTGGTTTGAAGAAACTCATTTCCCTGAAGGAAAGAAAACCCTGTCAGGTTTCCATGGGGGAGAGATTTTCACTAAGCCTATTATCATGTGCCATGTTGTCTCTTCCTAATATAACACAGCGGTCAGGTTCAAATAATGGAAATAAATACATAAAACATCTTACACAAGTTGTATGTAATTTGTGCTCATCCAAGAGCACAAACCACTTAAAAAATTGCTTATTGAATTCATCTGTATAGAGATTTTTTTTTAAAGCCCTAAAACTTTTTCCCCCCCAAATTCTTAACTCTAGTGTACCATTCAGTTTTTTTTTCCCTTTAAAGTTAGGTATTAGAGAACTCAGAAGTGGGTTTTTAATCTTAATGATTAGGGACCAGTTTAATTAAAAGAAATTGTAAATGTTGCTTACTGGTTTTCAGCTTTTACAATCAACCAGTAGATTAAACAGAAGACAAGAATGTGAAGGAAATCAACTTTGATAATGTAAAAGTGAAGGTATGGTAGACAGAAGTGAGTTAGAAATGGGGAGGAGGGAAGAGGGCATGCTCATGGCAGGAAACCTGGATGCTGCACAACACTGTTGCGTGAATGTGATTTTAAGTAAGTTGTAAAGGTAATAGCTATATTTTTTCTTTCTTTTTTTAAATTGAAGTATCATTGATTTACAATGTTGTGTTAGTTTCTGGTGTACAGCAACGTGATTCAGTCAAACTGATTTCATTTCTGGTGTACAAAGTGATTTCATTCTTCTGTCAAAAACTGGAAGGAGTAAGGGAGTAAGGTGCGGGGAGTGGTATAAATTAAATCCTCATTTTTAGGCTGGGGAGTCAATAGACGAGGGCCAACGAAATAGCAGTGTAGGTGTGTGTTATGAAGGTAATCACCAGAATTAAAGACCAGTTATTTAAAAGTGATAATCCCTCACATGAGCAGAAGTAAAGTGGGAGCAAAGGTTTTTTGTTTTCTGTTGTGTTGTGTGCATGGTTTCTTCGGTAAAAAGAAATGAGAAAAAAAGTTGTACCGATCAACATTTGCTCAAAGAAGCAGCATGAGAATCGGATAACCTAGTGAATGCTAGTTATTCAGTTTGTGAGATGTTAGGCAAGAAATAAAATCCTTCTGTGACAAGGAAATAACGTGAGAATGCTTACGTGTAATAGCAGATATTTCATTGTCTTAAAAAAAACACCATGTGTATATAAAAATGTAGGCATTTAATAGTTTCCTACATGTGGGCCCAGTTTATTTTTAATGTTAGACAAATTACATTCAGATATAGCCAGAAAAATGAGAATTCTTAGTTGAAAGTGGCTCTTTTTCTAACCTGCTTTCTATACTCTTTTGAAACTTCTAAATGTTGTTTAAGGTAAGGTGAGATACCACAAAAATAGGGTTATGTGTAAGTGATAGTGGGATCTTTGCTTGATTGTCTTAATAATGCCAAATCAGAAGAGGGATCTTACTGCACCTAATTTTCATAAAGCGAGGTTAGTTCATAGGAAATATGCTTATATTTTTTTCAGGATCTGTTTTCTCACTGCAATCTAACTGTATTGTAGTGGAAATTAATTGTTCAGTATCAAAAGTTATATACGTCATAAGTGTAGCAAAATATAAAATCTTTTTTAGGATTTCTTCTAAACAATTTAAACTAAACCTTAAGGAATTACAATTGCTAGATTTTATCTATCACTGTTTAAATTTGTAGAAGACAGTAATAAAGACCAACCTAATAGTGTTTCCTTAATTATCGACTACTTAAATTTTTATTTTAGCATAAGTTGTTATTTGAGCTATATTACATATACTTAGCTATATTATACCTAGATACATAACATTGGAAATATCTGTAATTAAATTTCATTCTCTTGCTTAGCTAGGCATTTAAGGTTACTTACAATAATTTAAATATATAACATTGAAAAGAAATGTTAAAAGCAGCTTTTGGGAATAGTGTCAATGTGTGTTTTAATCCTTTAAGGGAGGTACCAGGTACAGCTTAATACATATCTTCTTAGACTCTGACTTGTTAAGCTTAGTTCTTATGTCTTGCCTTGAAATTTACAGAAATATTTGAATTAATCATTTTAAGCTATAATTGTATGAGATGTCCTTGTTGCCTGTACTCCCCTTCCCTCTTATATGTAATTTTTAATAGATTAATTAATAAACTTTTATGTTTAGAGTAGTTTTAGGTTCACAGCAGAAAACACAGAGAGGTCCCACATACCCCCTCTTGCCTCCACCACCAGACATCCACCACCAGAGTTGTACATTTGTTACATACCCGGGTGAACCTACATAAATACATCATTATCGTCCAGGGTCCATGCTTTATGTTGGGGTTCCTTCGGGGTGTTGTACATTCTTTGGGTTTGGACAAATATATAATGACATGTATCCCTCATGATAGTCTTATACAGAGTAGTTTCACTGCCCTGAAGATCCTCTGTGTTCCACCCATTCATCTCCTCCTCCTCACAACCCCTGGTCTTTTTACTGTCTTAATAGTTTTGCTTTTTCCGGAATGTCATACAATTGGAATCATGTATGTGGTCTTTTCAGATTGGCTTCCTTCACTTAGTAATTTGGATTTAAATTCCTCCATGTCTTTTCATGGATTGATAGCTCATTTCTTTTTAGTGCTGAATGATATTCTGTTGCCTAGATGTCCTACAGTTTATTTATCCAGTCACCTACTGAAGGGCATCTTGGTTGCTTCCAAGTTTTGGCAGTGACGAATAAAATTGCTGTAACCATCCACATGCCTGTTTTTGTGTGAACATACGTTTTCAATGCCTGTAGGTAAATACCAAGGTGTGTGATTGCAGGATCATATGGTAAAAGTATGTTCAGTTTTGTAAGAAACTGCCAAACTTTTCCAGAGTGGCTGTACCATTTTGTATCCTCACCAGCAATGAATAAGGGTCCCTGTTTTTCCACGTCTTGCAAGCATTTGGTGGTGGTGGAATTTATTTTTAAAGCTTTTATTTGTGGATTCTGCTATATGTTTTTGTAGGGGTTCAAAGCAAAAAAATTATTTAAGTGATCAAAGGAGAGGTAGAAAATCTTACATTTCTTGATGATAAAATAGAAATGGAGCTAGGGGCTGCATCCTGAGAAGCTGGCAACTAGAACATTTCATTCTGAATAAGACTTGGGCTTTCCTTTAAAATGTGTCTTAAAATTTTGTGAATTTCCTGACTCATTGGAAGGTATTTTCAATATATTCAAATTTCTATGAGGCAAAGCTTAGGAATCCTCTTCCCCAAATACATATTTTTTGTTAGAGAGAAATAAGAAATGCTTGTTAATATGTGGGTTGGGAAGCACAACTGAATTTACTAGGGCTTTGTCCTTTCCAATTGTTTTAAATATTTTTGCCATTTATCAAGATAAAGTGGAATAAGTGATACCTTAAAGTTCCTACTGGATTGCCATTTTCACCGCTGGATTCCAGGCTCATTGTTTACTGTTTTTGTACTGGTACCTGTAGTTAAAGCATAGGTTATAAATTTAAAAAATGATTTACAAATGAAAAATTCTCCAATCATCCCTTCCTCTCTGAATAATAATTTTTCTGTGCGTATGTATATTAAGGTCGTGCCTGGTCCATGTGTGGGCATTTGTGGCAGCTAACACCAGGTCCTGGCCATGGTTGGGGCAGACCTGTGTTATCTCATCTGTGATCTATACAAGCCAATTGAAGTGGGTATTTATGTCGAAGAGCACATAATTAGTGAGGCTAGGATGTGAGTCCACTCTGGAGACTGCACCTCTCTCACTGTCTCTGCCCTGAACTTTATAACCCGCCCAGAAACTGCACACAGAGGGGCTTCGCAGGAGGAGAGGACCAGGGTCACGGATGCTGTTTGCTGATTGGCTAAACCTACACTGAATTTTCAAACACTGGAAAGCTGGTTTCAGTTTTGGTTTATGTAGTCTCGGTGTTAAATTTGCACACCAACTTTGGAGCATGATTTGGAGCAATATCATATCTCTGACCCCGTGCTCTATCGCTTGTGTCCGCGACGGGAAAATCATCCTGAATTTTTGACCGGTTTTGACAATTTGTTCTCCTGCTCAGACCGTCTTAAAAGTATTCGGGGCTTCCCTGGCGGTCCAGTGGTTAAGGCTCCGCGCTTCCACTGCAGGGGGCGCCGGTTAGATCACTTGTCGGGGAACTAAGATCCCTCATGGTGTGCGGCGAGGCCAAAGAAAAAAGAGAAGGAAGTCCTCTCACTGAAAGATAATTGACTAACATTTAAAATACTTTATTTGAGCCTATTATCCATTTATATTCAAATGCAAATACAGCTTTTTCGTTGTTTTTTATTTTTCCACTTGATTATAATAAGCATTTTAATGAAATGGATTAGGCTAAACAGGTGTTTAAATGCCTACTACGCGCTGACGCCCAACCAGCCTGAGTCTAGGAAGAGTGAAGTGCTGAGCTCCCATTTTTGCTTGAAATTACAATCTAGGGGAGGTTTTCCCTCAATCTTTATGCTACATAAAGGAACCCTTTTTCATGTAACTGACTGCTTCGACATTTATCCCTTTTCATAATTTGGATTTTCATGCTTCAGGTTTTCTTGAAGGTGTGTTTCTGTCTCTTCAGTTAGATTTGTCATCCTGGCACTTGCTGATCATAGCCACTGGATGGCAGCAAAAGAACATAGAAGAGTTTGTTTTGCTTTTGCATTCGCAAAAATGAAGAGAAAGCTATTTGGATTTCGTGGGTGATGAGAAAATAAAGTGATTAAAACTTGATATGTAACTAAAGCAGGTGAGACGCCAACACATCTTATCACTGGATGTATGTTATGGTAGTAACATAAAAGATTAAATGTATGCTTTATTGTTACCAAAGCCATATTGTAAAGTTCTATTCCAGCTTCTTTTAGTCACAAAATATCTTTCAAAATTCCCATGCCATTACTTTTCTGTTTTTAAAAGTGAAAAATAAGAGCCAAACTAGATATTAAGAAAAACTTGTTTAGCAGGAAACTTGTGAACAGAGATTTTGAATGTCAAGGAACCGTGGAAAGGGGTCATTTTCTTGATACCCTGTTTTAAAGATCATTCTTGGAGAAAAATCCATTGAGTTTGGAGATCTCGTTCATATACAAGAATTTGTTTTCCTTTTTCTTTTAAAAAATTGCTTACCAAGCAGATTTAAAGTAATGAGTGTCTTTGAAGATTTCATCCCATTTCTATAAAGTTACAATGGCTTTAGTTCCAAACTGAGCATACCTTACAAATGATATATAGCTCCAACTGAAAATGTGAAATGGAATTGAGGCAGTGACAAAGTAACAAACACTTGTTTTTTATTTTATTTTATGATTTTGTACAGATACATGAAATCTGCTTAGGTGAAAATACAGCTGTCCCTTTCTCCCAAACATTTGTCAACGTACTACTTTAAAAGAATCTTTTAATTTTTAGACAAAATATATTTAGTCTATCTGAAAGCTTCAATGAGTTACATAAAATATTAAGTGCAGAATGGAAAGGTTACATTTGTCCAGAAAACTGAGTATTGAGTGAAGCCAGGGTATCATCCTGGGGCTTGTCAGAGGATCATGGAAGAACAGAGCATGTGTTTCTTCCCCTGTTGAGTTTGGGACCTTCCAGTTATGCCTGGAACCTGAACCCTTCTTGATTTTATTTCTTACTGGCACATTATCATTGCCTTTTGATGTACATATGATATGGATCAGGTTGACCTTATGTTACTTAACTCTTAGTGGAAATGAACTTTTGGAAAGTGGGATAGTTTTCCCCCAATAATGAAGTATATGGCCACCAGAGTCTCAATGTCTAACTTCCTTTAACAGTACTCAAGAAGTTCCAGCAGTATTTATGGGTACTGAGACCTGAAACCCCAACCTGAAACTATATCTGATAACCTTCCTGGGTTTGGACTGTGGCCATCAGTGTCTGCTGTAAACCAAGAACAAGGAGAGAGAAATAATTCTTATTTTCACCATTCCCTCCTTTTGGAGCAATTTTTTTTTTTGGAGGGGGGTGAAGGGGCAGAAGTGAAGCATGTGTATTGTTTCAATGCAAGACAGATTTATGTGAGATGTATTTAGTATCTTTAGAAACTACATAGTCACTACACTGAAAGAGTCTCAGTTGCTATTTCTATTAGTCCAGAGTATCTAGGGGCCGAGGGTTGTAAATCCTCTTGGAAAATTTCCAGGAAAGAAAGTTCTGGGGCTGCCCTGGTGGCGCAGTGGATAAGAACCCACCTGCCAATGCAGGGGACACAGGTTCGGTCCCTGGTCCAGGAAGATCCCACATGCTGTGGAGCAACTAAGCCCATGTGCCACAACTACTGAGCCTGTGCTCTAGAGCCCGTGAGCCACAACTACTGAAGCCCGCATGCCTAGAGCCCGTGCTCTGCAACAGGAGAATCCACCGCAATAAGAAGCCCGCGCACCGCAACAAAGAGTAGCCCCCGCTCGCTGCAACTAGAGAAAACCCGCGCGCAGCAACAAAGACCCAACGCAGCCATAAATAAATAAATAAATAAATAAATAAATAAATAAATAAAAATAATTGAAAAAAAAGAAAGTTCTACACACTTCTTCAGTAATAGTCACCTATACATCTCCCCTGTGTCTATCATTTGGCCATGTGGTTTTGATTTATTTGTATTTGCTATCAAGATAAAGGGAAATTATAAATAAATGAAACAAAGTTCGTTTTGAAAGTAAACGATGGTAAAACTAAAGGCTGAAACTAAATATAATTTGTAGCTGTCTTTACAGACCATAGAGACCTAGCTTTCAAATTTCAGGATTTATTTTGCTCGACTTATTTTTGTGGCTATTTTATTTTATTTTTTAATTAATTACTTATTTTTGGCTGCATTGGGTCTTCGTTGCTGTGAGTGGGCTTTCTCTAGTTGTGGCGAGCGGGGGCTACTCTGCATTGTGGTGCGCGGGCTTCTTATTGCAGTGGCTTCTCTTGTTGGGGAGCATGGGCTCCAGGCGCACAGGCTTCAGTAGTTGTGGCTCTCAGTCTCATTAGTTGTGGCTCGCGGGCTCTAGAGTGCAGGCTCAGTAGTTGTGGCACACGGGCTTAGTTGCTCCGCGGCATGTGGGATCATCCAGGACCAGGGCTCGAACCCATGTTCCCTGCATTGGCAGGCGGATTCTTAACCATTGTGCCACCAGGGAAGTCCTGTGGCTATTTTAAATTTAATGGAATTTGAAGATCCAGGCTTAAATACTGCTTCTTAAAATATATCTTGAGGAAAATATCTTAATAGAGTATTTTTTAGTATTAATTGTAGAACATCAGAAGGAACATTACAACACAGCTTTGATTTTCTTTTTGTTTTAAATTTATTTAATTAATTAATTTATTTTTGGCTGTGTTGGGTCTTCATTGCTGTGCGTGGGCTTTCTCTAGTTGTGGCGAGCGGGGACTACTCTTCGTTGCAGTGTGTAGGCTTCTCATTGTGGTGGCTTCTCTTGTTGCAGAGCACGGGCTCTAGGCACATGAGCTTCAGTAGTTGTGGTGTGTGGGCTCAGTAGTTGTGGCTTGCGGGCTCTAGAGTGCAGGCTTAGTAGTTGTGGCGCACGGCCTTAGTTGCTCCGCGGCATGTGGGATCTTCCCGGACTAGGGTTTGAACCCGTGTCCCCTGCATTGGCAGGTGGATTCTTAACCACTGTGCCACCAGGGAAGCCCAGCTTTGATTTTCTTGATTCTGTCAATGATTGCTGACTTTGAAATAAGTCACTGAAATTATGCGTATGTTTCTTCAGCTATAAGGTGGGTACAACCATGCCCATTTTTCACCATCAACTATACAAATTCAAATGAAAGGGAGTAGGGGCTTTGTAAGAAAATGCTACTTAAAATGTTATGTTGATAGTACAAAAATTAAGATGACTTACCTCAAAACTGGACAAATTTAATGGAAAGTTTCTCTTCTAGTTTGTCCTTTATTTTCTTTGTTCCAAATAAGGTTTCTAAATTAATATTTGAAGAGGTCCTATTGGGAAGTTAGTGTTCTCAGACCTCCACATGTATGGTTCTTTGCCTAGAGTCTTATGTACTCTGTTTGGATAGCTAAGGTTTTGCTACGTTGTTTGAAATCATGGGCTGACCCTTGAAGGAGTCAGGCAGTGAACAATTTCTAGCAAAGGAAAAGGTATTATATTATATGAGAAAGTGTCAACCCTTCTCTAATATATTTGGAGAGAGAAGACCACACCACAAGAAATAGATTCCCCTGTGTTTGTTATGAGTGGGAATTGTTCCTCTTGACTCCAGAGCAGTGTCTAGACCAGTGGCTCTGAGTTCTGGCTCCACATCACTTTTGGAGTTTAAAAAAAAAATCCTCAGGTTTAGGAAGAACGAATCAGACTTTCTGGGCATGGTGTCCAGGCATTGGTATTGTCTGAAGCTCCTCAAGATATGTAATGACTATCCAAGGTTGAGAAGCATTGATCTAGAGACAGGTGGGGAATAATAACAACTTTGTAAAAGCCTTAAAAAGAGAACAGCCTGGGGCTTCCCTGGTGGCGCAGTGGTTGAGAGTCTGCCTGCCGATGCAGGGGACATGGGTTCATGCCCCGGTCCGGGAGGATCCCACGTGCCGCGGAGCTGCTGGGCCCATTAGCTGTGGCCGCTGAGCCTGCGCGTCCGGAGCCTGTGCTCCACAATGGGAGAGGCCACAACAGTGGGAGGCCCGTGTAACGCAAAACAAACAAACAAACAAAAACTGCCTTTATTTGAAGATAGGATTATGTACACAGAAAATTTAGAAGAATCCACAAATAAATTATTATAATTCATAAATCAGTTAAGAATACTAATTATCCAGGAATAAATGCAAAAAGCTTGGCCCAAGGCCTCTGTTAATGGATTGAATGTTTGTGTACCCCCAAAATTCATATGTGGAAACCTTAACCTCCAGTGTGGCTGTATGTGGAGATGGGGCCTCTAAGGAAGTAACTAAGGTTAAATAAAGTCAAGAGTGGGGCCCTGATCTGGTAGGATTAGTGTCCTTATAAGAAGAGACTCAAGAGGGCTCTCTTGCTCTCTCTGCTCATTCTTAGAGGAAAGACCATGTGAAGACAAAGTGGCCATCTGCAACCCAGGAAGTGATCCTCACCTGGAACTGAATCAGCTGACACCTTAATCTTGGACTTTGAGCCTCCAGAACTGTGAGAAAGTAAATTTCTGTTGTTAAGCCACCCAGCTTGTGGTATTTTGTTATGGCAGCCCAGTCTGACTAATACGGACTCTACAGAAAACTATAAAAAATTATTGAGAGCCATTAGGGTAGACCTAAATAAATGGAGTAGTATAGCATGGATTGGAGGATAATCATTTTCTTCCAAGTGATCTGCAAAAGTACTTCTCAAACTTTACTGTGTACACAGATTTTACGAAGGGATCTTGTTCATGTTTCTGATTCAGGAGATCTTGTGCATGGCCTGAGATTCCCCATTTTTAGCAAGCTGGCAGGTGACATTGATGCTGCTGGTCTTTGAGCCGCACCTTGGCTACTAAAGGTGTACAGATTCAATGAAATTCCACTCAGTGCCCTAGTACCCTCACCCCTTCCCTCCCTCCACCTCTCTCTCTTTCTGTAATATTAACTAGTGGTGTAACTTCCATGATTCTCATCACATGGTCAGTTGCATTTCCTCGAATCTCCCCCCTCCCTCCTGCAATGGATTATTCTGGAGTAAAATTAGACATTATATCATTTTATCAGTAAATACTTCAGTGTGAATCTTTTTAAAGCATTAGTACAATGCAGTTATCACATCTAAAAAAACTGACGCTACTTAAAAAAAATAATCAAATATGTAGAACGTTTCCAACTCTCATCTCTTGTTTTCTTACAATTATTTATTAAGAAGGTTAACGTAGTTTCTCTTTTCCTCCGTGATATGGTTCAATGTGTACCTCCACCTCCTCCATTACCCATAAAATGATAATAGGCCTATAGATGAGGCTTGATGAGATCTGGCTTTTTTTTTTTTTTTTCTTTTTCCAAGAATACTTCGGAGGTGGTGGTGTATACTTCCCATGGCACTTAAGAGAAGGCACATAACATCTGTTTCTGTTTTTCATGACATTAAGATTGACCAGCTTTTCACCTACTGGTTTTAGCAGCCATTGGTGGTATCTGCCCATGTCCATTATTTCCTTAGGGGTTGCAAAATGGTGATATTCCATCATTTCTTATTTATTTAGGTGGAATTCTTCTCCTAAAGAAGAATTTTCCCTTTCCATCTATTGTTACCCAGAGGTATAGTTCATATAGGAAAGGGGGAATAAATACTTGATTCTCTTCCTTTGTTTGCCAGCCTTCAGAATAATGATTTGAGTCTCTGGCACTCTTAAAAGGCAACTTATTTTTTTAAAAAGTATTGTTATCAACTCCAGATTTCCCACTTTCACTGTGTTTCCATTTTTGGTAGATATCATTCTTTTCAAGGTTTCATTTTCCATCTGTGGTCAGTGGGAGCCTTTTCAAGTTGTCTGCTGCATACTTTTGACACAACCCCAATGAGTCTGCAGCTATAGCCCCGTTCACTGCTTAGCATTTATATCCTTTTCTGACCTACAGAGATTTTTATCTGGTGTTTGAGGCCAAGTTTGGATTTTTGTCTTTTTGTCTTTACACTTTATCGTTGCTTTCTTTATGAAGCAGAGTGGTGAATCACTGCACCAGCTTGAGTGAAAAGTCAAAAGAATTTTTGAAATGATCATCCATTTGTAAGATACCCTGAACAATAAAAATTGAAATTTCAGTGCATGATGACATAAGACGAAAGTTTCATGATTATGAGACACATGTAGGGAGATGAAAGGTCCAGAAAGGGTCAAGCTGAAGATGTGTGGTATTGACGACAGGGTGGAGGAAGGGAATGTCAGAACTCCATGTTCACTGTGTACATTTCGCCACGGGTCAGCCATAGGAAAATGTTGATCATTCTCATTCTAGAATGTGAATTAGCCACTCTCAGCAAGTTATTTTGCCTTAAGTTTTAGCTCAAAGGACTCTTCCAGGTAATGTTTATCCACAGATTCTTGGATGGGGTGACCTACATACCTCATGTAGAGAATAAGCACAAGCAGGTAGAATGCCCTCCCAAAGAGCTGTCCTATGAGGTGTATTTTTGTTGGACTGGCCTTTTCCTCTACAATGACGTATCCAATATTTTAAGTTCTCAAATTGATACTGTAGGAATAATCTGTTCATTTTCTATTTTTAAAGAATCCCCTTTTTAAATTTACATTAATTTTTGAATAGTTAATATTTCAAAAGGATGTGCGTTTCTCGTTAAAATGATTTTTTCTGTGCTGAATGAAACTGTCTGAAATATGTTTATTAATTTAAAAAGACAAATGTATGTGTGTGTTTATTGTTTTGGGTTTCAATGCTATCATCCTTATCTGGAATAACAAAAATCTCTGCCTTTTCTCCTTCCCAAATGTTCATGATTAACTTTTTAAATGGGAGCTAAGTAGCGAAAAACAAATATATACATCAATAAATAATTATTATTTTCTGAGATACTCTTGAAATATGAAAAGTTTCTTTAAATTTACTTTAAATTATTCTTAAGTTTAGAATAATTGAGCACCTTCTTCTGGTAGGAAAGATGCTAAAATTAATCCTAGACTGATATTGCATTTTTCTGAGGAGTATTATAATTTAAATTAATTCACCTTATGTTAATGCAATTGAAACAAGTTCAGTTTCTTTTGTATGTATTACTTGAGTGGAGGTTCAGACTATTGGCATTAAAAAGTAATGTGAAAAAAAGGTAACAAATAAAGTATTTGATGGTTGATGAGGTCTAGACTTCTTAGTTATGTTGTGTATGAATCCACAAACACCAGATTTTGGAAAGCGAGTTCTCACTAAATGGACTGGGTGGTTTTAACATTCCAGTGTTGACTGAAATCAGTTAATTTCCCCATAACATTCTTGTTTCTGCTAGAGTTACTTCGCTGATAGTTTTTTTTAAATTTAAACTTAGGTACTTTTTATAAGTCTGGATTTTCAAATTTTGTAGACAGGCGATCCAAAGCCAGGCGTGAAGTTTAGGAAACCAGGCCCTCTGCCTTGGCTTCCTCCTTCTGTCACCTCCAGGAGCTTGCTGCAGGCACTAGGAATATGACTGAGAAGGCCCTCTGATTCGGAGCTTAGTGGCACATGAGATGACAGATCTAAAATGACCGTGCTACCAACACCACAAGGTGGGTCACCTCTTTCATGTTGGGTACAATATGGTTCTGAATTGCCTTGTTCTTAGTTTTGAATTGGACAGTTCAGTTGCTTGTAAGAGCTACCTTTTATCCCATCTTTTAAATGCTCTTTGCATTTCCCTCTGGTATTTTTAGTTATATGTGTTTTATTCTTGTTACTAATGTAATAAATTTATTGTAAATATTCAACATGAGAGAAATACAATGTAAAAAATGAATGCATTCAGCAATCTCATTGTAGCAGATGCTGTTGGTGGCCCCATCCACAACCACTCAGACTTGTCAGTTTCATACACTTGTCAGTTTCATGTATCACTACCAACACCAGAAAGTTCTTGCCTGCGGACTTTGCTTGAGGGCCCACTCTACCTGTGTTTGGGATGGTTGGAAGTGCTGGGGAATGAGCAACCCTTGGGATCCCTCGACCAGTGACTGACAGGATGCGTGAGTAAATATCTCAGCCTCCTTGCCTCTTGGTTGGGATAACTGAAAATAATGAATGTTCTGCAGTCTCTCCTGGCATTCCCTGTTGGAATTAAGATGAAGTTGCCCACAGTAGCAACTTGCTTGAAAACACACTTTCTAATGGCTTCCTTCCTTTCCTGGTATTACATCTCCACTCCCTTACTGAGGTTTCCAGGTATCACTTCCCAAATGAATCACTTGTACTTGTTCCTTCTGGGAGGACCTAACCTAAGGTACCCATCATCCGAGGATGACACCATGGCTTTAAATACTCACTCTTCTCGTGTGGATGTGAAGAAACTACACTGTTCTAGGGACTTTCTTGAGTGCTATTAGGCTGGAAATTTAACGAGAGATCCTGCTCATTATTTAGGAACTGAGTCAGGTTGCCTATTCCCTCTAGACAGTCACTTATCTGGGTTTCTCCAACTTGGCACCACTGACATTTAGAGCTGGATAACTTTGTTGCGGGAGCTGTCTTGTGCATTGTAGGACGTTTAGCAGCGTCCCTAGTTTCTATCCACTAGATGTCAGGAGCATCCCTGACCTGAGTTATGACAACCCAAAATATTTTTAGACATGGCCGAAAGTCCCTGGGGGCCAGAGTTGGCCCCAGCTGAGGACCACTGAGTTAGATCCAAGTTTATGTGGGTCTAATGTGGCAAGTTTGTTTAGGGTACTTAAAGGCTTTCTGATCACCCAACAGGAAGGAAAGGACAGATTGAGGATGACCTGAAAAAAATCTTTGTGGCTATCCCCTTGCATTGGAGCTACCGCCTCCCAATAAAATACATATAAAAGGTATATATTAGAAGACTTTTTGTATGGCAGTAAGGGTTCTTGGGTGGTGATACTTAGTCTGAGAGAAGTTAACATCTTTAGAGAAGGTGGCAGCTGGCTGGTGTCCTGAAGTAACTTGGGAAGTTACCACTGAATTTCGCAGAATGCCCAGTGGATGCAATTCTTCAATGACAGGGAGTTCATGAAGACCTGGGAATTCCTGCTTTCAGTATGCAGGTAGATAAAGAGCATTTGATGTTTCCACCTGCTGCTCTTCTGGTTTGGTGTAGGGGAAACCCAATCCCAGATGCAGACGGGAAGCCAAGAATTCTTTCCACAACAAGAGTCCATCCAATCACATCCTAGAGCGACATAGGTTGGGAATCGAGCAAGTATTTGACATACTTTGTTTTCACGATAGGTGTGTTAAGATAAGACTGTCCAATGCCAGGGAAATTGTTAGGGAAAAGAGAAAGGTTGTCATCTAGTTGATAGTTTAGAATTCCTGACTCCTCCCTCAGTTCTAGTTCTCAAAGGCTTGACCGATCCCTTTCATATACCCTGGGAACATAGTCCAGACTTAATCTGAGCTGCACCTTTACTCACCTCAAATATGAGATATCACTTCTCCTTTTCAAAGTGACTCCACTTTTTCCTGTGTTGAAAACTGCAGTGGCTGATTCTGTCCTCAATTTGGAATCCTGAGGGAAGGCATAGGAAAGTCAGTCTTTTCTAAAATGATTGGATTGGCATGGGAAACATGCTACTGCACCCTCTGTTTCATGGTTGACGGTGGTGATTCTCAAAGTGTAGTTCCAAAACCAGCTACAGCACCATCTCCTGGAAACTAGTGAGAAATGCAGATTCTCAGGCCTATCCCAGATCTGTTGAATTAGAAACTCTGGAGGTGGGGCCCAGAAATCTGTTTCGTAACAGGCTCTTGGGGGTGATTCTGGTTTGCACACTCAGGTTTGAGATTATTGGTCCATGTTATAGGGGAAAAGGAAAAGTGAGGATGTGACTTTCAATCAGGCTTCTGCTTGGATTCCTGCACCCAGAGAGGGTCCTTGTCTTCATCTCGTTGCCCATGGAGGCCCTGACACCAGGCCCTGAGGAAGATCACCCCTCCCATAACTCAGACCTCTGTGTAGCACCAAGGACATAGACACGGGGAGTGAGACTTCCTGGGACCAGGGAGCAAGGCCTGCCTAATTCTCAGTAACAGGCAGTGATATCCCTTGTTGGAAATGTCATTGCAAACTGCCTGCCAAACACAGCACTGGGTGAACAGTGGTGCTGGCCTGTGGAAATGCTTCCTCTGCCCGTTCCCTAAAACAAATGAGAACAATGGCCATCTTTAAACAGTTCCAGTGATGTGCCAGGCACCGTGTTAGATCAGCCCTGTGTGTGTAAATTTCATTTAACCCTCACAACATCTCTCTGTGGTGGGTACTTACTATGGATTGAAAGTCTGCACCCAAATTCATATCTTGAAGCCCCAACCTCCAAGGTAATGGTATTTGGAGGTGGGGCCTTTAGGAGGTGATTAGGTTTAGATGAGGGTGGTCATGAGGGTGGATCCCCCACTGATGGGATTAGTGTCCTTATAAGAAGAGGAAGGGACCAGAGCCCTCTCTCTCTCCACCATGTGACGACACAGTGGAGAGGGGACATCTGCAAGCCAGGAAAAGCAACCTCTCCAGAGCCTGCCTCTGCTAGCACCCTGATCTCAGGTTTCCAGTCTCCAAAACTGTGACAAATAAATTTGTTGTTTAAACCGCCTGGCTTATGGTATTTTGTCATGGCAGCCAGAGCAAATACAGTACTATTATCATCCCATTTTACAAATGAAAAAAGAGGTTCAAAAAGACCGAGTCACCTGTCCTGGTTCACCCAGCTAGTGAGCAGCAGAGTAGGTTTGGTTGTGGCCTGTGTGATTCTGTCCTTGTCAACCTGCAGGTCCCCATCTCCTGGGTGGCTGAGGGTATAAATCCCTGCTTTTGGCTGAAACCTTAGTGACAGGGCCCTCTTGTCTCATCCATCACCCATGCCCGGCCTTTGACCCTTCCTCAGTGATCCAGGCCTCAATTTTCCTGTGTGCTTCCTCTTGACTTCACACAGTTGTCCAATTTGGGGAGTAGCTATATTAACCTGCTCTGTTCAGAATCACTCTAAGGCCCTTGCACGGGCCTCTGTTCCCTCCTCCTCTCTTGCCCTTCCCCCATGAACCCACTCTCTCCTGGTGACTTGTTCAAGTGCCACTGGCACACTCTCTGCTCTGAGAAGGCAGTTCTCTACCTCTCAAGACTATGCTCTCGTGTCTTGAGGCTGCTTTTATTCACTCTAAGCAGACTGAGGCCTGGCCTGTCCCTTAGAAGGTGGATTGCCATATCTTTGCACGTGTTGTCTGTGTTTGCCTTACTTCTTTGGTGAGCTCAGTACTGGGGCCCCTGTGTATTGTCACTCAATGAGGCTGAAGCAGAATTCTGAGGAGAAGGGCTCAACTGGGTAACTTTTATGACTGAGGAAAGATGGTGTGTGTGTGTGTGTGTGTGTGTGTGCGCGTGCGTCTGTGTGTTGCTTCGGGGGTGCTATTGGCAGAGAGGGAATGGTGCTATTCTGGATGTATCTATGTTTGTGCTGACATTTCATGTTTGTAAAACCTCACAGCTTGATGTGTTGATCCAATAAAATCATCCGGGGAGTGAAATAAAAATACCCAGAAGATTGGTGGGCAGGAGAGCTGACTGTGTGTGAAAGACACCAGAAAACTCTTCTTGTCACCCAAAGCATTGCTAGAAGGAAAAAAAAAAACAAACAGTCAAGGAAAGAAGACCTAGCAGGCGATAGGGGGATGGCGGTCCTGAGTTTGCCTTGGGCCTCTCATGACAGGCTTTTGTCTTGTTAGAGCTGATTGGCACAGAACTTATTAAGAAATTTAGAAGTGTTCATTCCTTGGACTGTTTTGGACATTATACCAACTTCTTCTGGTGGGCTTTTGAAAGGACTCTATTATGTCATTTTGGCTTGGGACCCAGGAAATGAGCCGGCACTCTTCAAAGTTAATAAAACATCATCTGTCATAGAATTTGCAGGTGTGACTCAGTTCCTGCACTAAAATATACAATAGGAGGCCAGGGCTGAGGAGCCAGCCCTTTGGCAGGCGTAATGAGCATGCTCTGAGCAGTCTGGAATCTTCTGTGTGCTGTCTAGGTTTGAAGTGACTTATTTGTGGGAGGATCAGACCTGCTACCCTCAGCACCATGCAGGCCACTCTTGCCCCTGGGAAGTGCAGGAGAACCCCCTGTTGTTTCCCTGGGGATGGTTGCAGGTTACCCTATGGATGTGCTTTGACATCACACATGACTTTCATCTTCCTAAAGAGGGGAATTTTGTTGACAGGCTCATGGCACTGGTGGTGTCCACACTGGCCAAAATCTGAGTCTTTTTTCTAGATGAGGTGGGTTCCAGGAGTGACTGGGAATATTAAAGTGGAGTGCTCTTGTGTTCGGAACCTCACCTCCCCAAACCATGTGTTGCCTACAGGATCTGCCCCCCAGGGAAAAGTAAGCAGGCTGATTTTTGCACCTTGGATGAAGGGCTCCCACCTTGGCCTGTCTCCCCCAGCCTTTCTCTTGTATGAAATTCCTTTTTTTTTTTTTGCGGAACGTGGGCCTCTCACTGCTGTGGCCTCTCCCGTTGCGGAGCACAGGCTCCGGATGTGCAGGCTCAGCAGCCATGGCTCA